ACACACGGTGGCTACCACCAGATTAGCCGACTGAGCGAAGCTGCTCTCTCGACCATTTAGACTAATTCTTTCTGTTTACTTTTGAATCTTTAATATTAGAAAAACGATATATTTGGGTGAGTTTCCCTCCACGCTACAAATGCCTTCCGGCTGATGATAAAACATGTAATTTGTGCTAAAACACTAGAGGCCTTCGCCTTATACAAGCATGGGCTCTTCCACTAGATCTTCTTGAACTACTTGTTTAAAATGTAAATTCCCTAAAAGGAATCTGATTACAAGTCTGCAAAACATGAAAACGAAAACAATATTTTTTTTTTTAAATTTATAATTAATTAGAATTATAAAATGTTCTTACCTGTCAGGCATGAAGGACAACAAGTACCGGGGAAATGAAATAATTGCTCATGCTAAACAAACACAATAAAAACATTATTAAATATTTTCTGTTATTAATTACAGCAGTCCCGTAAGTACAGATCCTAATTCTTACAGTTTATACTAATATGTATGTGCCTGTTTAAAAAATAATAAAGCGTGGCACCAGAATTCGCTCGACGTTTAGGCCTAAGCAGTATGGCAGTGAGCATGATAATTTCTGACGGATTTCATTGAGGCTTAGAGGAATGAGCCCTTTTGGGTCCCAGAAAGATAAACCACTAGCAATTCTAGCCGTTTTAAGCAGGGTTGCTTTATCACGTATTATTCTATAATATTGAAAAATCTTTGCCCTACGAGGCGAAATACTTTGCCTTTAAGACGGAAGACTTGAGCATTTCTGCTACTGGTATATAGTAGGAGTGCGTTTGGGTATTCCAATCCAAAATTTAAAAAAAAAAAATAACTGTATGTGCTTTAATGTAGGAATGCTACGTAAATTAAACAAAACATGAATTTCTATTTATACATAAAATGTCAGGAATTCAAGTTATATATAATTATATAAATAATAACACAAATAAAATAATGAAACTATAATATATAGCAAAAAAGTAATATTCATGCATCTTTTAATTGGCAAGGAAACAATTTTCTTGTAATTTTTAATTAAAACTTTCACAAATTTTATTTTTTCATTACGTCGTATGCCCACCTATTATATCTTAGTGTATTTTTTAGTGTTGAAAGGATAAAGCACCAACTCTAATTAAGATATTCAAGCTTCGAATATGTAAAAATCTCTATAAAAAGAGATGTTAAAGATCGATGTTTATCTTAGTATTTCATTTGGCATTTCTTACCATAGCACACTCTACAACTGGACACTTTCTTTCGATGCATTCTGCCCTGCCATCCACACAACTACAATCTGAACATTTTCCATCAGACCAGGTTTCAGTAGCCTATTCAAATAAGTATAGTAATATTTTTAACATGGAAAATGTAAATATACCTACTTTTATATCTGTATGAAAGTTTTTATTCTACTGGCTAGGGGATGGTCTTAAAGGAATTTATTCTGTGATATGCCAACAGACTCGCAAGAGGTTTACAGTTTAATTGCCACCAAACGCATGTTTATATAGAGCTGTTTTGTTAAAAGGCTATGTACCATAAAATTATAATATCACTTGTGTAATATTAAGAACTGTTTCTATTATCTAACTAATTGCTTATAATGTTTATAGTGTGCATACAGCAACTTTCATTGGTCATGTTTATTTACTGTAATTTCCGCTGCGATTCTACAGGTATTTTTCAGTCTATTACAGTTCCAATTGGGCAGAAATATCTGAGCTGTATATCAAGTGATCTATTAAAGCGCAAGGTAATACGGAAGTACTTTTTATACAACTGATATGGAGCTTTTGCTTGAAGGAATGGTAACATCACTCGTTTATTCGTATATTTCAGTAGCATTATAAACACATTTAAACTGAGCCTCGAGGTTGTGACAACGTGGGGCGCTTTATATAAATCCAAAATTATGTATATAAATATATATATATATATATATATATATATATATTAAATATATATATTATATTAAGAGAATAAAGAGAATAATAATGAACTCACCAAATGCAGTATACCATCATATGTACAAAAGCTGACATCTTAAAAGAAAATAAAACATGTCAAAAAACCTAAATATGTATTAAAATCAAATATATTTCTCAATACACAATGTAATTGTAAAGTTATATTTAAAGATACTTTTAATATAAAGTCAAGATTTTATTATAATGTATTATACCTCTACATGTAGTTCCATCTGGCTGAAGGGCAAAGCCTACCCTACAAACACAA